CCATTTTGGGCAATTTTGAGGCTGCAAAAATTCATATTTTGCGTTATTTTCAAAAATTATCCAGCCAACCTGCGAAGTAATGTCACAAAAGTATTTATATCACGACAAAGGATCATCCTTACCCTTACAAGAAAAAAATAAAAACACTTCTGAAAAATCTCCTTTATATTATTTTTAGGCCCTATGCAGCATGTTTTTACAACTAGCAAAATTACATTTTTTACCCCATTTTTATCCTTCCAAAATGGCAATTGCCAGGGCACTCAGAATAAACTCCCTACGGCTATGGTTAGTTCAGACATTGGTCTTTTCATATCTGGTGAGAAAAGTTTGGGTTATTGTATAGCCTTTGAGCAGTAGCGCTCCAAAAAAGGTAAATTTCACAAAAACCTTTTCAGTGTTTTCCTTTGTTTTGAGTAATAACTTATATAATTGGTATTATTCATGAATCTAGCACATTTTCACAAACAGAATCAGATTGTGTATCATTTTTAGACCAGTGGATGAAGAGTAGGTCGTGTACTCCTCCCCCCCCCCCCCCCCCCCCCCACACACACACACACCTGGCTAGGCTCCGACCACTCCCCATGTGCCACCGAATTTCAAACTTGAGGGTTGCATAACGAAACAAATGTAAATAAATACTTTGCAAGTGAACACTTTAGAAATAACATAGACTTCCTTTTCACAGCCTCCCCTTCCCCCACCCCGGGGGCATTGCTTGGAGTTGAGGGTGGGGTGTGACCACCCACCAATAACTTGGCATTGTCGGTAAAATCATTGTCACACGGGCAAAAGTCATGTGTTTGCAAGCCGCATGAAAAATAACGGCCATACCCATTTTCCTCTTATTGAAGTGCACCATTATTCGAATAAAGTCCAGTCCTCTCCTCCCAGCTAGGCCCCTCCCTTCCCTTGCCACCAAAATCAATTTGCAAGTGAACCTTTTACAATCTACGCCAACAGCCGTCTCACAGCTAGCCCACTCCCAAAGCTCAAAAGAGAACCACGCCCTCCCTCAACAAGTCGATAAGTACATTTTTTTCGGATTACATACATGCATATGGCCTTATGTATATGCATATGGACACAGGCATGTACACTGTACACATTTTTTTTATATTGCAAGTTACTTTGGAATTACAGGAAAGGTGTGGTGAACAAAATGACGTTTATTTTATTATTTTCAAAACGGAAAGATCTGGCGATTTAGACAACAATTAACTCTCATTTGTTTATATTGAAATACATGTACTTTTAAACAAGGATCACTCCATTGAAAACTCCGAGAGAACACAGCATCAATTTGATTGCATGAGTGAGATTTGAGGCTTTGCATGGTGGAGATACTAAATAATGAAAGGTTTGCGGAAACACCATGTGCGAATAATTTCTCAACTAAGAGAATGGTTCTGAAAAGAACCAGAGGTATAAATTCGACGTTCCGGTCAGTATGCTCTGACCGTCTTCAGGAGAGTGCCTACAGGAAAGGTGTGTTGATTGCATGAATTTCACTCTGACTCGACTTGGCTACATACATGTAGTTTTTTTACTGGAATTGTCATCCAAATTTGTATTTGCCTGATCAACATGAACAATTTTGTGACTTTTAACAGTGGTCACCATGGCACCCATTACATGGAACTCCCTTTAGCCAAAAACTCTGGATTCTTCTCACCAGTTTCACTACTGTGACCCCTACCAGCTGTAGGGTCCCTAGGGTCACTGACCCTAGGGTCTGGACACAGGCATGAACAGTGTACATGCCTGTGTCCAGATCACCCTTCCCATCCCCACCCCTGCGACATACACACCCCTTCTCCTCCTCGCTTTTCGGATATTCCAAGTTGCCCCGCGTTGTAAAAAATTCATCTTACATAATTCAGACTTTCCCAAGGCCATTTGGATGTATGCAATCTGAACAAAATTGTACTTGTTGACTTGTTGGGGGAGGGCGTGGTTCTCTTTTGAGCTTTGGGAGTGGGGTGGCAGGGGAAGGGACTAGCTGTGAGACGGCAGTTGGTGTAGATTGTAAAAGGTTCACTTGCGAATTGATATCTAGTATTTACAATTTAATTTAGGCAAATACATGTGCAGAAATCAAAGTCTGAATTTGGTGGCAAGGGAAGGGGCGGGGCCCATGTGACAATGATTTTACCGACAATGCCAAGTTTTTGCTGGGTGGTCACACCCCACCCTCAACCCCAAACGATGCCCCCGGGGTGGGGGAAAAGGAGGCTGTGAAAAGGAAGTCTATGTTATTTCTAAAGTGTTCACTTGCATAGTATTTATTTAAATTTGTTTCGTTATGCAACCTACAAGTTTAAAATTTTAAACTGGGCGGGGCCTAGCCAGGTGTGGGGGGGGGAGTACACGACATACTATTCATCCACTGGTCTAATAATGGTACACAGTCTGATTCTGTTTGTGAAAATGTGCTAGATTCATAATTATACAAGTACAATTATACGATACCAATTATACAAGTTATTATTCAAAACAAAGGAAAACACTGAAAATACACTTTTTAAGGTTTTTGTGAAATTTACCATTTTTGGAGCGCTACTGCACAAAGGATTAATAATAACCCAAAATTGTCTCACCAGATATGAAAAGACCAATGTCTGAACTAACCATATCCGAAGGGAAATTATTCTTACTCTACGGTTAAGTATTCGGCCCACACCTTCGTTCTTCGCTCTATTTACCCGTAGAGTATTACTAAATATGCAGAGTAGCACCGTTTCAGGCAGGTGGGTTCGCATACGACAGTAGAGTTAACGGTGTGTAAGGCGGGCTGCAGGGGAGCGTGAGCCCAAAGGCAACAAGGTTAAACCCACTTAAGTAAACCAGAGGAATCGGCTGTTACCATTGGGTAAGCCGACCTTGATCGGTACTGCGTGGCGCCAGTGGAGGATGAACCGGATCCGGTTGCGCCGTTGGGGGGGGGGGGGGGCAGGGATGGCTGCACAACGGTTCTGGCATCAGCTTGCAGCATGGCCCTGAAATAATGGGAGATGAATATCTTGGAGGATGTCCAACGTCCCGCCTGCATGATATCTGCAATTAAGGAGCACTCCTTGGGGGCCCAAGAGGTCGCCACGCTGCGAACTTAGTGGGCATGTACTCTGTTCGGGATAGGCCAGTCAGACGATGGGAGTCGTAAGGCCCTCACGACCCAGCGAGCGATTGTATTATATCGCAGGATGCTGGACAATGTGGTGAAACTGTGGTTATGAATAGAGCCTAGTGGTCACCACGCAAAGGGGAGGGCGTTAGCCCGCCACGCCTTTAGCTCCTGGGATCCGGAACAGTACCCTGGGAGCTGGCGGTTGAGAAATACTGCGAACAGGTCGATAATGCGGACGGTCAAATTGTGCTAAGATCGTCCACATGGCAAAGGTTCGGATGGTTTACTCCATGGGACGAATCCTGCCCCTGGAAAGTACATCGGTTGTGGTGTGTTCTCTGTCCGCCAGATGGACCTCTCGGAGATAGATGCCATGCTGGGGACACCAATACCGTAGTTGTCACGTGAGTAGGCATAGGCACAGGAGTATATTAGTATCACCACCACCACCAGCGATGCAGCCGGGTATTCTGTGAACACCGTACCACGAAAGATACAGGCATGAACCGTGGACGCTAGAAGGTCAAAAATAGAGTTGAAGCGAGACCCCATAAATGCGGCACAGCGAAACCAAGTCCGCGAGGTTCGCAAGTAGGCCAAGGGGGAAGCGTAGTGATAAACATTGGCGATTCACCCGCGTGTCGGGTGAGCCGTGTCCCGTTGTACATGTAGATCGGGTACGTCATCGAAATAACTGGGCCATTGGGTCAAACAGGTTTTCACTGGTCCTGTGATGGGGGCCTGTTATCTGTGGGCATATTCACTTCCACCAGCTGAACCGTGGCCGAAAGACGGCGGTAGAGGCTGAAGGACAGAAGGTGGCCCGTGGATTTGCAGGGCGTCGAGCGATGAAATAAAATCCACTGCTTGACAGCTGTGGACGCCTGGGAAGACATTTATGGACGAAACTTCGTCAAAGTGGACCTCTCCGTAGCAGTCTGAAACTGAATGGCAAAGAGGTCCCCTCCCTGGAAAGGAATAGACTCGAGACATTTGCAAGTTCAACAGGAGGGCAGAAAGATTACATCAAGAATTGTTACCCGTCGTGCCTCTATGCCGGGACGGAAAACTCGATCAAGTTCACTGAGAACTGCCCAAAGGGAGTTGTGCAGGGAGCGGAAGGCGGAGCCTAGCATTTAACACCCCTGAAATAAGTATTTAGACAGTAGGAGCGAAACGTTGTGTGGGTGATACCCAGACGAGCGGCGCTGTCCAAGTGTTGAAGTGCCGTTCGTTGCGGTTACGTGTATCGTTTGGAAACAGGGACTAGTGAGTCAGGAGCCATTATAGTGGACCAGCCAAACTAAAATATTACACTTTGGACGGCTTTTTTTGGTAATAGCAGGCAACCAAGGGTTAGGATTGACCGGGGTTGGTGAGGAGAAATGAGCCACTCCTCTCCCTTGAAATGTCCCATTAGGTCAGCGTCTCAAACAGCCTCTCCTAATCAAACTCCTACTGCTTGGCTTCATGCGCCGTTCCCTGTTCATAACCGATGGCAGGGTGTGAAGGCGGGTCTCTGGCACCTTTAAACCAGATAGCTCTTGGCAGGTGGGGTTCATCAGCCGTGGGAGGCAACTCACCTAAGAGACGGAAAAGTCTGATTCCAAACTCGGGCAGGAGGAGCTCGTCAACCAACCTCACTCCACCAAGCCCCCCTTGAGGGACATCTAACCTCAGCAGGTGTTGGTAGATCGGCAGATCTGGCGGACGAGCAAGTTATCACGCAACTTGCCAACGGCGTACAAACAGCAATTGGTTGTGCAAACCACAGGGCGCATGGATAGATGCAAGCAACATGCAGCCATGCACTACGCTGGTGGAGGAGTGGTGACACGCCAGCGGAATCCATTCACCAAAACCTCCAAAAATGAATCACAACACTGAGAATCACAGCGATACCCTATTGAGCGTGGGGACCCCGAGCGCGCCAACTGGGTCTGAAGCTACTGGGGATGAAGGTGATCATGCTCTCTACTACCCACGCTGTAATGACGCCTTGCACTCAAAGCCTTCACTGAACGGTGCGCGGTTGAGTTTGCGTGAAGAACGAAGCACGGGCACCTTTAGCTTAGGATGCTGGAATGTGACCACACTGAACTATAGCCTAGCACCTGAACATCTGATGGCCACTTCAAAAGCCTACCGCTATGACGTCATTGCTCTTAGCGAAACTCACAACATCGGTCAGGAAGTAGCATGCAATGGACACATAATCATGTCGGGTGGTGAAACTCACCATGCAGGTGTGGGAATACTGATGTCAAAACGGGCAAAAAACAGCTGCCTTGCCGTCTACTACATCTCTGATCGGATCATGGCTGCCCGCTTTCGTCTGAGGAAAGGCTCCCTGCTGTTTGTCTCCGTCTATGCACCTACATCCACTGCAACGGATGACATTATCAACAACTTCTACTCACAACTACAAGATGTGATCAATTCAAACAAAAAGAACTGTGACACACTTGTTGTGGCTGGTGACTTCAACCCCAAACTTGGAAACCAGCGCATCCCTCTTGTCATGGGACCCCATGGCTATGGTGACAGAAATTCAAGAGGAGACAGACTTGTTGATATCTGCATGGTAAACAACCTCACTGCCGCACACTCCTGGTTCCCCAAGCGATCTTCTCACAAGGTTACTTGGATCAGCAGGGCAAGAAACGCAAGAAACGCCATTGATCACATCTTAATTAGCACAGAAGCAAGGAACCACCTGACTGACTGCCGTTCCTACAGTGCTTGCTTTGATACTGACCATCGGTTAGTAATCTGCAACCTGAAGTGGAAATTCCGTCGTCATGCTACTGCACGTGGACTACGACCTCAACATCCAAACGTTGAAGCCCTGAAGTCGGAACAATCGTCTGAAGTCTTTCGGCAGCTGGTTCGATCCCGTGTTACTCAAGGTGACTCTTTTGAAGCTGTCGCATGTGTCATACACGAAGCATCTCTCGAGACCTGTGGTACACAAACATCCAAGAAGAAACAGCCGTACCTGTCTGAATTAACTCTTCATCTGATTCAGCGCAAGAGGAAGGCTGTAGGCACTTTAGAATTCACAGCTCTGAGGAATGAGGTCAAACATGCATGCCAGAAAGATCTCAACGAATGGTTGGTAACTAATATCAACACATTGAACCAAGCATACCAGAATCACAATTGCAGAGCTATGTTCAAAACTGCTGATGTTCTCCTTCAGAAAACATGTACGCATGTGGTGAACATCAAAGATGCAAATGGTCTGGTATTGGAGACAGCTGAAGAAGAAATACAGCGTTGGCATCAGTATGCTGTAGATCTATTTGAGTCCAATCAGCCACGTCCACCCCATCACACAACTGAGGTTGAACGAAACCTGCCGTCACCGGAAGAGACCAAGAAAGCCATACAGGCACTGAAAAACCACAAGGCTCCCGGAGTTGATTGCGTCACATCTGAAGCTCTGAAAGCTGTGACACAGGACCCAGAGATATTCCTAACCCTTCATGGGGCCGTGTGTAACATCTGGAACTCTGGGAAGTGGCCACAGTCGATGACCAAGTCAGTGTACATCCCGTTGCACAAAAAGAGTGACCGAGGCTTGTGCAACAACTACAGAACACTTGCACTAATCAGTCATGCCAGCAAAATTGTTCTGAATGTGATACAACGCAGACTGGAAAGAACCGCTAACATCGAAGTGAGTGACACCCAATGTGGCTTTGTAAGCGGTAAAGGCACAACTGATGGAATCTACCTCCTGAAAGGTGTGGCGGAATCGCACTACGCAGGAAAACGCCCTCTCCATCTGGTCTTTGTTGACTATAAGGAGGCATTTGATTCAGTTAATCATGCACTTCTGTTTGCAAAGCTACGATATCTTGGCGTGGAGGAGGATGTGATGCGGCTACTTGAGGATCTTACATCAACTCAAATGGCAAGCTCCGGTGGAAAGGTCGGATGACAGACGAGTTTGAGACAGACGAGTTTGAGTACGCCAAGTTTGAGTACGCCAAGGCTGTCCATTGTCACCAACACTCTTCAGCCTCTACACTGAGTGTCTCATGCGAGAGTGGTACAATCGCACAGTACACCTAACGGCTCCAGATGTCACTGGTATCCCCCTAAAGGAGATCAGATATGCTGAGGACCTGGTACTGATGGCGCTGTGTAGAGCTGATGCTGAAGAGATGCTTACTACCCTGGGTGATATATCTGACGGGTATGGGTTAGCCATCCACCCTGGTAAGACTGCATATATGATCATCCAGCCAACAACCGATAACAGCACCATCACATACCGCTCGGCACAAATACCTCGTGTCACATCTTTCAAGTATCTAGGAGTGTTGATCGACCACACACTAGACGACAGCAAGGAGGTTCGGATGCGGTTAGGTATGGGCAGATCCACTCTTCGGCAGTGCAAGTATCTGCGCTCCCACCGCGTCAGCCTTGAGGTAAAGGTACAGCTTGCTCGGGCCCTAGTCATGTCAAGGGTACTGTATGGTGCCACCACCCTGTCGTTGAAGGCAGCTGACATCAAACACCTAGACAGTTTTGGCCGAACCATTTGGCGTCACCTGCTCAACATCAAGTGGCAAGATCATGTGACAAATAAAAAAAGACTGATGGAGATGAGCGGCGACCGGTGGTGCTTCAGCAGTAGCACTGTGATGCAACGAAAGGCAGCATGGTTGGGCCATGTGGTTCGGCACGGCGGCAAGGCGGCAGCTGTTGTGGATGGGATGCCAGTGGGATGTCGTCCCTCCGTGGGCCGGCCAAAGATGCGCTGGGTGGACAACATCCGTGAATGGTCTGGGTGTGACACCAACGAACTGAAAGCAGCAGCACTGGAAAGACGGGCTGTAGTGGAAGCGGCGCCAGTGATCCCAACTGTGTATAATTTGAGGAGGAGACCATGGGCAAATGCCTATGTCTAACGAATGAATGAATGTCAGATCAATCAGTCAAAGGATGGAGAAGAAAGTGTATGTGGATGCCTTAATTTGACCCAAATATAACTACTCTGCTTAAAGCTATAGTCCATCATTTGCAGCCATCCGAAAAGTAACTGGCGTTATCATGTTGAAAAACATACTTGGTTGAAAGATAGTAAGTGGACTAAAACTCCCTGTGAAATTTTTCTTACTGGCAAGCTGTCATTTTGTCGGATCAGTGCGTGACATCGCGTATAGCTGCAATCGGCTCATTGAGAACGTGTCTCAGACGCTGAATTCAGGCCCAATTCAAAACATGATTCAGCAACTTTTGATTTGAAATTAAGATCCTAGAATGCTGTTTTTCTCGGAATATACAGCTGAGCTGACACTTCATCAGGTTAGTTGTTCAGTATCCTTCATTAGATTTTGAACACTTTTGTTACTTCAAACGAACAAAATACCCATAATTACAAATGATGGACTATATCTTTAAATTGTTAATCCCCGCCGTGTAATATTTTTTTCTCCATATTTTGGTATATTCTCAATTTATTTTTCTTCATTTTTTGAAAGTTTATTACCGTAATTCTACTCGCACACAGTTACTTTTTCTGAAGTATATAAGTGACTGTATAAATACGAGGACTTAGTAACGATCCAAAATGGCTACTTTTATGCCTAAAAATTGTGCGCATTTACCTTGTCTCCAGATATCTTAAAGTAGTCTTGCCAAACCTCAGTATTGTTGAGCTTCAAATTCACCAAGTAGCTTACTTGCGCAGTAACCCTATTAAAACGTTATGGAAAATCATATGACCAATGACAACATTGTGACATTTAGCTCAGCAAACAAAATACGGGGGAAAACGAGCTGGCTGTCCGTAAACCGTAAATTAGGCCAAGGGTCGCCTAACGTGGGAGACTTGAATAAGTTAATGTAAATCCCCCACCCCCAAAAAAATTCTTGCAATAATTATGTCAATGTCACTTTTTGTTTCCATTAATTTTCTTTCCAATAACTTTGGGAATTTCCTTGAACATTTTCAAGTCTCCCACTTTTAGCAACCCTTTACTAATTGGGCCACTTAACAGACACCTCGTTTTCCCCGTTTTTGTTTGCAACGCTAAATTTCACAACGTTATTATTGTTCACATGATTTGCATAAGATTTTAATAGGGTAACTGTGCTAGTAAGAATTTGAGGCTTATCAATACTGAGGTTTGATAAAACTACTTGAAGATATCTGAAGACAAGGTAAATGTGCGAAACTTTTGGGTATGATAGTAGACATTTAAGATCGTTACTATGTCCTCATAATTATTTAGTCACTTACATGTATATGTTTTCGAAAATGTTATTGAAGTAAGGATGTGTAAGTATAATCACCAAAATGAATTTTTAAAAATATAATAACAATAAAAAATATCCCCAATATGGGGAAATATATCACACGGCATTTTTTAACGATTTATGCAAATTAGGTATATTTAGGATCAATATTAACAAAGGCATCCACCCACATATGGTTCCAAGAATTGATCTAACATGGATTTTAATGAGATACATTTATTTCAATGCTGCCATAAATGATGATACATAATGTTACATATTCAAATTGACAATACATGTACAAAGATATATTTACAATTCGGGCGATTCACAATGCAGTGCGTCACCAAGAGTTTACCATGGAGAGTTCATTTTTCCCAGTGCATTGTGGGAGATGGTCGACAAATTCGCAGCGCGGGACATTTGAAATTGTTAGTTTTTCGGCCAGAAAGTTCGTAAGCATATGATTCGAGTATCTTTTTGCCCTTTTCTTTTCGTTTTATCAATATGGAGTTTTTTTGTAAGGCGGCAGAATGCTTTGCCCCAATCTATAACAAATTAGCTCAATTCTTCTACTGACACTCCTTCAAATGGGCCATGTTTTGTCGACCGTAAACTTAAAAAACGAACTCTCCGTGGCAAAATTTTGCTGGCGCACTGCATTGTGAATTGCCCGAATTGATCTAATAGTGAACATTAACTAAATGGCAGCATCTAGGTCCGGGGTGAAGCATCAGCTTTTGTTCCACAGCCTATGGACAGACAGACAAGTGACAGACATACATGGAAAGAAAGAGCACAGACACAGGTGTACGACAGTAATCAATGCCGTTATGATCCCTATTCCATTGCTTTAGTACATGTATGCATTTAACAGAAAAAGACGTTTTTAGTTTTCTAGCATAAATAGAGAGAGTGGGCGATGATTTAAAAGAGTCATCCAGACAATCCCAATATAGAGTGCCACCTTTTATTTTCGGGCAATGAGGTTGTACTATAATTAACATAAAGATTTTTCCTAGTAGTACTGCGGGTATTATAGGAATGAATGTTTGAAGAAGGTGTAACACAGGGGTTAAAACAAGCAGGTTATGCACGATTCATATGTTTATACATACATTTTCCTAAGTTAAGATGATACAGGTCAATGAATGTTAACAATTTCAAATTTGAATATACAGGCCCAGAGTGTTCACAAAAGCCAGTTTTAGAAATTATTCGAACTGCTCGTTTCTGCAGAGTAAGCAGTCTGTTGCATTTAGGAATTGGACTACCCCGAGTCAGAATTGAGTAATTTAAATACGGTAAAACAAATGAGTTGTACAAGGCTAGTAATATGCTACTACGTAAACGTATTAGACTGTTCATAATACCAATATTTTTGATATTTTAGCTGTCATAACATGTATATGTTTCTTCCAAGTTAATATCTCATCAATATGTATTCCCAAAAATGTAGTACCCTCAACCTGGTCAAGATTAGTATAATTTAAAATTATAGGAACAGACTGAGTGAGCTTGTACTGGCTAGCACAAAATATTATATAATTTGATTTGTAAACATTTATACATAATTTATTGGCTAAAAGCCAAGTAGTGATTTTCCGGGCTCAAGATTAAGGTTCTGTACAGCTAAGTCTACATTTTTGCATAAACTTGTGTCATCTGAATAAAAGGAAAATGTAATGATATCTGAAGTATTGCAGATGTCTTTAATGCACAAGATAAATAATAACTGACACAATACAGAGCCCTGTGGTACACCGCAAATAATAGGCCGTTTTGTAAATTTTACAGAATTATACAAAACATACTGGGATCTGTCACATAAGTAACTTTTAAACAAGTCTAGGGCTATTCCTCGGATACCATAATTTACGAATCATGATATCATGGTAAAGTGTATCAAATGCTTTCGATAAATCCAGAAAGATGCCAATTGAAAAATGATTGTCATCTATATCTTTACACAATTTGTTAACTACATAAGATGTCGCTAAATCAGTAGCGCGATTACGTCTAAAGCCAAACTGTGATTCCGAGAGAATGTCATGTTTGTATATAAAAGATATTAAACGTATAGATTAACTTTTCAAATAGTTTCGAAAATGTTGATAAAACAGAGATGGGTCTTTGATTTCCAATATCATGTTAGGAACCTTTTCTTATATTGGTATAACCTGAGCCTTTTTCCAGCTGTTAAGGATTTATTGAAGATGTCAGCCAGCTGTTTAGCTAATGAATACTTGACCTGTTTAACAAAAAAAAGAGTTCAATTCATCAAATCCAGGGGCCTTTCCTGAAGGAATTTTGTTCAGAGTATCCACAATGTTTTCTTGCGTATTAAATGGGAGTCAAAAAGAGTGAATTCGAACACCTTTCACTAAGGAATGCCTCAATGGGAGTGTTATGTAGCGGTAGCTCACTGGCAAATTTGCTCCCTATGTCAACAAAATACGTCGTCACCAACACAACGAACTGACACCCGGTGGTTTGCGTTGCAGAAATATAAATCGGAGAAAAACGCTTTTAAAGGTTTGACACGAATTTACTGCTTAGTTAATTAGCAATTAAATGATTAAGACGGGTGTCAGTTCTTGAAAACGAAAATGTATGTATTTTTGGAGAGTGTACGCATGCAATAGCGTTAGTTAGTGTCAGTTCCTGAAAACAAAAATTGACGTGTTTTGG